AAAAAAAAAAAAAAAATGAGTAAAATGTCCAAGCAAGTGATCCTAGTATGAGATTTTATAGTCTTCTCGATTGTGCAGGCAAGTTGAGTAAAACATCAGATAATTTCTCAATTGTATAGAGTCTTCTTGCAACTATAAGCGATTGATCTGTTTGCCAAAAGCAACCATGCATACTTATTCCCGTTTCACAAAACTTTCAACTGGAAACAGAACTACAGGCCTTTCAATCCTATACAGTTGAAAAATTCCTAGAAAGATTTGGAGATCGGAAAGAAACTAAGTAATAAGAGAAGGCAATATGTCAGATTAATTTGCAAAACTCTACGAAAAATCATTATAACCAATGAAAGAGCCTTCAGAATTGAAGTTGTAATGATTTGAGATCCTTAATCATATACTAATCAGGCAAAAGCATTCAATCAGGAAGGGATTGAATATGACCTCACACGTCATTTAAATGTCATTGGACCCATCTGCCAGCTATTTAACACATCATTTTTTTTCCTATCACTAACCTGCCTAGTAAGCCTATGTTTGGTTCGGGGGAAACAGATGGGAGGGGAAGGGAGGGGAGGAAATTTTTTATTTTTCCCTTGTTTGGTTCAATTTTTTGTATGGGGAGGGGTTTGAATTTTCCCTTCAACTTCCTCCTCCAAGGGAAAATGTGCTCCCCTCCAAAAGTGGGGGAATTTAGAGGGGAGGGAAAATTTTTTTAACATCAAATTACATTTTTGACCTTAATCTATAAATTATTTTATTTTTTGTTTCTTACATCATTAAGAGTATAACTGTCATTTTCACAATATTTTCTTCTCCTTCTATTTTTCTAACCAAACAAGGTTTACTATTTTTCCTCTCTTCACCTCCTACAAAATTCCTCCAAACAAGATAAAGTTATTTTACATCACCTCCCCTCCCCACACCTCCCTTCCATTAAAATCACTCCCTTCATTTTCCCTTACTTGAACCAAACATACCTAAATAAATGATTAGGTTGGTTAACCAACCTAATCAAATCCTATCTCCGCTAGTAAACGACGCCTAATTCCATTCCAAGAACCTAATATCTCAATGCCGGTAAGTAAGTGTTGTACTTCGATGCAATTCCTATTTCTCGGTCTGTACTGCGCTTGTTTTTTCTTCGTGAATTTCGTAGAAAATAATCAATTGTAAGCAAAAATTGCAGACGGCGATGGTGGAAATGATTTGTTCTGCAATCAGCGGCAACCGGCGGTCGCCAGCTCGGGTTGCAGCTGCAGGCTGCCACCACCGACTTTCAGAAGATCATCAGCCTCGGTGGCACCGTGATGGATGGGCGAACCATGTAAATTTGCTACACTATGTTCATATTCAATGTATTGCTGATTAATTTCTGTTAGGGCTGAAATTTGTCTGCATTACGTCGAGCTATGTGCGTATTTTAATTTTGAAATAGGGTAGTAATTATTCATGCTATGTTATGTCGAACAAATCAACAAACAGTTCATTTAGCAATGGTGCTTTATCTTGCGGTTTCAATAGATAGGTCTCTCCTTCATATTAGTTATGATTATCTAATGCTTAAACAATCATACTCAAGTGTCATACTTTAAAATACAATATAAATAAAAGTATGATATTTCATTGGATAAGGCTTTCTATCTTTCAACCATAGAATTAAAACACGA